CAGGAGAGGTTATAGCAAAGTCACGTGGTTGGAGAAAGGTGTTTGAAGTAGTGCTTAGAAAATAGGATAGTGGATAATAAAGATCTAGAGTTGATGGTCATTTCCAGTTGAGAAGGAGATAGAATGACTAGGACAGTGGAGTTGAGAATTGTTGGGGGCAAGAGTCTTGAGGTAGTAAAAGTAATCTGGCTACAAGGGGTAGTGTAGGGAGTGCCTGTAGATAGAGAGAGCTATGGGTACTGTGTATCATCAGGGAGGAATCTTTGTCCTTACCATGCAACTGAAAAGCTTAGATTAATGTCCAGTATCTGTAAATTGTTGAGTGGCGACTGACTTTTGGAGGTGGGGGTGCGGAAAGGAGACAGTACAGGTGTAGAAGAATGGATATGACTAATGAGTTGGAAGGGCCTCTCTGCATATTTTCTGGATTTTCCATCGGTTACTTTGCTAAAAAAAACACTTGAAAATTGGAGAGGGTTTGCGATAACGAATTAAACCTTCACTGACCAAGTTTTGTCTTGTTTTTGTCAATGAGTTAATGCTAAGAAATAATTTAGGGTGATCATTGTTTCTTGGATTACCACAATAACCTCTAAATTACCTATTCAATTCCACCATAATGAAGTGTTGGTGATAACTATGTAATGGTGATGTATCTTTCCCTTTGTTTTTTCTATCTGATTTTCATTCTCTTTCATCATATCTATTCTTGATCCATTTACAGTTGGCAACCTATTCTTGATCTTACCCAATTTTTTCACTGAGTCTCTCTATGTCAGTCCTTCCTCCTCGTCAGTATGGCTCTTGGTGTTCCTCCTGCCCTTTGATTTAATTCTCTTTAACACCATCCCCTCTCCCTACAAGCTTTTTCTTCCCCCTCCATTCCTCTTCCCTGTCAAGAGTCTCAACTCTCTCTTCCTCCACTAACATTATTGTAGGCTTGAGCAGTTGAGCTACTCAACCTGAAAATGAGTGGCCAAGAAATCTAACATTTGCCTGCCATAGTGAACTGGGGTTAGCCTTTGGTTTATCACAACTTAAAATAGGGTTTTTGAACAAGAGGACACTTTGGCAATCCTCTTGTTTTCTATTAAAATCCTTTAAGCCTTTCTATTCGTATTGATTCTTGAGGATGGAGTTTTTTTGGCTCTGAGTGTAAGCCAGGGTTATAATACGTAGTACGCTTCAGTATGCGGAACGAGTACGAGATCGCAATATACTAGTTAGGAGAAAAACAATATGGTTGGGGGTTTTGTTTAATACGGTTTTTGAAATCATAATACAATATGAATAATACACCCTAATATGTATTAAGTTCTTTTTTTTTTTTTTTTTTTTTTTTTTAAAAAAAAAAAAATCTTGGGAGAAACTGGTGTAGAAGGCTTAAATCAGAAGTTTGCAGGGGGAAGAAGTATTAGGTAACCTTGTAAAAGAAACAAAGTGAAATAGGAAAGCAAAAGAAGCAACCAATGAACCCCTTCCTCCTCTCCCCACCACCCTCCTTGTTTAATACTATCTCTATGCATTGGGACATCACGATACGCTAAAATGGGAGTATTGATACGCAAAAAGTATCAAGTATTGGAACAAAAATCTTAAATTGGAGTTAGTGGGGTGGAAACCCTGGTGTAAGCTCTTACATTATGCTTTTGGTAGTTATATTAGCTTTAGAAATGAGAGAAGTCGGTTCCTTGGTTGATAGGAGAGATTATTTGAAGAAAAGGAGAGAGAAAAGGGGGAAGGTTGGCCTCTATTAATGGTAATGATAATTGAAGAAAGAGAAGAAAGTAGGAGGGATCCAAGCTGTTATGTTATTGTGTAGGCATTACCATTATGGTGATATTTGGTATGAAATAGTGGCTTAAATTCTATCGTGGATTGTCCTGAAATAGTAACATAAGCGCTATTAAATATAGAGTTACATTTTACATCCCCCCCCCCCTTTTTTTTTAATGTTATACTTTCTCTGTTCACTTAATAATTGCATAAGGTTGGCCAAAATTTTTGATCAAACTGTTGCAACTAAAATTGAACGGAGGAAGTATAAAGATCTGTGTAATTGTTTTAGAGATCGTTTCATGGTTTAGAACACTATTGTTCATTTTGCAATTTGAATTGGGTGCACGCATCATTTACACTATTGATTTCATGAATCCTTTGAAAGATGGAAATAAAACAAGGGATTCATAGTGAATTTGTATTTTAGATCAGTTTTAAAATCTAAATAATTTATAATGTCTTTTGAAAAATGTTCATCATAATTTATTCTCCACCCCCTAGTGTTGTGTTTCTGTTCATTCTTTTTACTGCGTACCTATATGGTAATGAGTGGTGATATAATGAAGCACATTTATGCACTACCATTAACATTCACATGAGGGTATATCCACCTCTCATGATTTAGACTCAACCTATTAAAGAACTGTAAAGAATAGAGTTTCTGGCACAGGTATAAGGCTGGGGGTTGGGTTCTAATCACCTCGGTGTTTCTTATCTTCTAGTTCTGGCATGGGTGGTTTTAATTAGTAGATGCTTGAGGTGGCAGTTGGTGCGTAACAAAGGCAACTGGGTTTATTACCTACGGGAGTTTATACTTTCCAATTAGTGTTTGGCTGTAAAAATGTTTTAATTTATAATGTGCTTTGTTTACTTGAAGCTATGCATAGTTCATAGCTGTTCTCTTAAACAGTACATTTCCCAGATATTTCTTTGGCATTTAATGTGCGAGGTTCTTGTTTATTATCTGGACTTGCCATGTTATTTATGTTGATATGTTTGAGCACTTGGTTCATGCTTCACTAATTTCTGATCTCCAAATTGACTTCCAAAGAAAATGGTTTTGGATTAATTGCAAAAGCCTTTTGTAGTCGCGTGGGATATACATGTTTGTCAATTCCTATACATCAATGAGATTTCTATATTGTATGGTGTATGTACTCTTTGACCTTTGGCTATCAAGTAGGCAACTATACTCACTCATTTTATGATTTATAATAAATATTTGTCTGCTACCTTTGTGAGCATTCTTAAGTCTGAGCTTGGTTGAAGGCATGTACAGTGAGTAGTTTTAGATGAGAACTGCATAATTGTAACCTATAAGTTTATCACCGTCTTTGTTAAAGCTGTAAGCTCTAGTGTATTATCTATCTGGTATTAAATATCTACTGTTATTTAGTAGTACATATCCATTATTATCGGGACATGTGAGTAATAAATTCCATGCATGTCTGTGCAGGCTATATTTTGTTATTGGATTACTTCTAATTGCTTCTCCTTCGCATATGGAGCTGGTATGTTTTCCATTCTTCTTTTCTGTCTACTGTACAGGAGTAATGTACTTTTAATGTTTTTGCTCTTTCATTTGAAATACCCCCTCCAGTCTAGAATTGATTGTCATATTGCCTTACTCTTTATCAAAGTCATGTGATTTATACAAAAAGACCCTTCATTGCTGTTATGCTATATTTTTCCTCTCTTCTCCACTTAATTTTATTAATTTAGTGGTCACGTCACTAATTTGTTATCTAATCATAAACCATCACAATAATAACTTTTCTAGACCACCAAATAATCGAATATAGCATACGTGAGTATCAGTTATACCAGTGTAATCTCATACTACACTCAATATGTTGTTAGAACAATACAAGACTATAGTCATTTCTTCTGTTTAACATTATGTAATAAATGTAAACTCTCATCTCATGACGTAATCTTTGTGACGTTTTTGTAAATCTAATATCTACAGTGCTCAAAATTCCTGGTGTAAAGAAGTCCTTGGGAGTCCCAGATATACCAGTGCCACCTCCTGGCACAGAACAAAAAACGTCTGGCTTCTCTCTCTTAGAAGCGCTAAAACAAGCCACTGCACCCCCAAAAGCTCCTGCTGCATTACCTGCAGCTGCTGATCAAGCAAAACCTATCGATGAAAAAACATCATCATCATCGGCAGTTCTCAGTCAACGCCTTAAAAGTTTAGAGAGAAAAGTGAAGCAGAAAAAGAAGAACAAGAAGCGATGATGGTGTTCTCTGCTCTTATTTCTATCATCTTGATATTTGGTATTATTTGAATTTTCATCCACCTTGTACTATAGAATAATTGTATCACTATTAGGGAGAGTAGCAAGATTTTGCCCTATAGAATATAGAATACTACAGGTTTTCTTATTGATGGTTAATGGTTTTGAAGAACAAGCAGTCGAGCCGTATATCATGATATATCTGTCTGTTGGGGTGGTTTTTACAGACAGCAGGCGGAAATATCTGAGCATTTTTTTGGTTATAAACCTGATGATATAATTATCATCACTGTTTTGGTTTCTTTTTGTTAGTTGTGTTGGGAATTTATATAGATTTCAATGCAAGTGAGATATGACACTCTCGAATAATAAATATGAAAAGCATATTCATGTGTAATTTAATTTATTATTTTTACAATACCTGTTTGAAGATAGCTATGTTCATTTATGTATTGAAATTGTGCAAAAGTTGATTTGGGACTAGCAAAAGAAAGGGATACGTAGAGTATTTTTAAATTGGAATGTAATTGAACTTTTCTTAGCTAAAAATATACTCTCTGTTTTGGAATAATTGACACACTCCCTTTGGTATGAATTGTATAAACATTAAAGTTATGATGGGGGTTATAAAATGAGTTGTTTAAGGTAAAAGTAAGTTAATATAGTAATTAAAATTTAAAATTGTGGTCTTTTGTCAATTATATTACTATATCAGTTATTTTGAAACGTATATAAGAGAAAATTGTGTCAATTATTTTAAAATAAAATGTGCTTGAAATTGATGCACCTCAATGTATTATGCTTATGCTCTTAGTAAAAGAATGAAGTTCAAAACAAAAGAATATACGTAATTTTCGTATTCGAACATCTTAACTTGATAAATGAACATTATTGAGTTTTTAAGTCACCTTAACAATCATAGTGTATACGTTTTGTTCATTGTCAACAATTAAAACTTTAAAAGTAGAAGTTCTATTAAAATCAACAATCATAGTGTATCCGTTTTGTTCATGCGAGGTCACCTTAATTGCAGAAGTTTAGTTGGTATTAATTCAAGTTAAGTATAAACATAAGCACAAAACTTAAAATGAATGCTGACCATTGATATTACCTAATCAACGGTTAATATCATACGCGTGTCATTAACCTTCTTCTATGTTTTCATTTTCTCCTCTGGAGCTTTTCACTTGAAGTGGCATCTGAGCAGTGAGCTTCTCTCCTCCATTGAAGGAGCTTCTGAGGTAGGATAATTTTTCTATTTTCTTTTATGATCGAATGTCATTTTCACAATCTAGGGTTTAATTTCACACTGTCGTTGATATAATATTTTGTATAGTTAATTTAGGGCTCCTCTAAAGTAGATTATTGAAATATTGGTTGTAAATTATGGAGTTATGAAGGAAAATCATTGTATTTGCACCCACGAATTATTAGTTATAGTTTAGAATTTGGATTATGATATTTGATTTCAAATTATGGTTTTGAAGAGACTGAATTGAATTCGCAAGCTAAAATTTCTGTCCGCCAATTGTGTGTATGAAGCATTTCATGTAAGTATAAATTTATTATGGATTTTTCTTCTTGTTAGAAGTTGTATCTTGGAGGGGTTTTGTCTTTATTTTATTATTCAACTTATGTAGAATTGAGATTGTTAGTTACTTAGCTATTGGGATTGTTCGAAATTTCAGTGACTAGTCAATGAGTTGATCATGAAATATTGGAGGAGTTTGATTGCCACATTTTCTTCCCGGGTCATTTTAAGGAATTGGATTAAATTTTGACATGCCACACAGTATCGCTTTTGTTGATTTTTAGTTGAACCTGTAACTCTGTAAGTAATATGGAGTATTGAGGCTTCTTGTGTAAAGATGATTTAAGGATTAAGACCATGTTAAAATGAAAAATGGGATAGTTTAATCATATATTTGTCGAATAAAAAAATGAGAAACCATTTTGGATGGCTTAAAATAGAATTAGATGATCATATAATGGTGAATCTGAGTATGCCAACATAGTATAATTTTTAATATTGCTAATTAAACCATGGTAAAATTGGTATGCAAATGTGCATGTCTTCATGAGGCATTTAGGGGGCTGGAAGAAATGACAACGGACTACAAACTTTTCTCTTAGTAAGTTATATATTAGATTGTGAAGCTCACAACTTTTGATGTCTCTAGCTTGATTGTTGTGGTTGTTTGTATGTGCAAACTAAAACATGGTATGCACGTATTGGTAAGGGCCCTAAGGGGGGCTGGGAAGCTGTGCGAAAAAAAAACTTAAGATGGTACCTGGTTTTACACTTTATAAAGTCAGTTGATGAACTAGCAATACGTATATGTATTCTTCACTTAATTCCTGGATAATGTGGGACTGTGGGTCACTTGTTGGATGTGTTAAGGTTAAAGGTTTTATAAAATCTAAGGTTCAGGTTCATGCATGCATCCTTTCAATATATGAAATTGATGTGATCTTTGAAGCTTTGAGGACCGAAGAATGCTTTGAAGCTTTAATTTGGTTTGATACTTGTACTGCCACATGTTGCAGTTGTTCTTGCCCTAATGTTTTTCAAAGTAGTGACAATTGGGCGCAATGTTAACTGCTGTCTAATCTTAGTTGCGGTGTAATCATTGTAGCTTAAGGGTCAAGGTAGGCTAGTCTATTAGTCTGTTGCCTCTTTCCATCATAGGATTATTTTGTAAATTGTATGCACTGAATGATGATGTAACCAAATCAGAGCTTATCAGGTAGTTGTCTGTGTGTTGTCTGAATTAATATGCTTGCTACTAGCTGCCGTAGGCTGCAGTAGCTGATTTTCTTATAACCTTCCATTTACTGCCAAATTTATCAGATTTCAGGTGAGAGTGAAGAGTTAGGAAAAGGAAATGGAAAAGGAAAGCTTCAGTTGTTTTTTAAGGTATTGAGAGATCTGGGATTCTGGATGTTAAAAATGGATACCTTATACTAATCTTGCTTCTTGATTATTTAGATATAAACACCAATGAACGTACGATACTCCTCTGTTTCACTGTACAATTGTTTCATGAGTATATACATACTGTTAACGCTTTCCAATATGGAAAATATAACTCTTCCTGTGCTCTTTTTAGGATGTCTACAAAAATGTGTTCCTATTACTTAACTCTCTTTTTCTCACACTCGTTTATATCTCATGTGATGTGGGCCCTCTTACTCACTAATCTCTTTCAATCAATTTTTTCCATTCTTATTTCCCCACTATATACCATAAACCTACCCTATCCAACTGATATATAATCCTCAAGTGTGCCTAAACCTAACAAAAACGTTATTTGTGGACAGAGGAGGGAGTACATTGTTTTTGCAATGATACTATCCAATGTGGTATGAAATCATATGATATCTTGCAAATGAATTAGTTTTGAATGCTTTTACTGTAATTGTTATTGTGGATGATAGCAAGGCATTCTTGGTGTATTTTTGAATCATGGAACAAGTGAGTATGCAGCATTCAAAATCATAGGTTAATCTGTAGCTATATGTGCTGGTTTTGTCTCTTACTTGCAATAGTTGCTTGACGCCTTAAGATTTTAGTGTGTGTGTGTGTATTTGGAATTTTGGATGTATAGCTGTAAAATTGCTTTTCATTTTTGGTATGCAACTTAATTTGCCATGGCTTTTCAGGATGGAAGGAGAAGGAAACTTTTTATCCAATCTTGATGATGAAATGAGGGAAATACTGGCAGAATTTATGGTTGGAGTTATAAAGTTGAGTTAGTGGAAGTTGGACGGAAGTATCTCATCAGATTTCAGCAGGCGCTTGAGTTTCTCCGACACCCTTCAATATATGAATCATCAGAACTGGTCAAGAGCATCATCAAAGCAAACGAAACCAAGAGGATTACTGCATATGTAGAAGCTGGGTGCATCAATGCTTTTGATAACACAAATAATGTAAGTCAGCTGAATACAAGTTTGGGTGACCTTCGGGATTGTCTAACCCAAGCCAAAATCATAATAGACAAACTTGAAAGCCTCATGGATAAGGCAGGCAATGCTTTAATTATGAACAAGTAGTTGCTTCCCAGAAGCTTGATGCTGCTGGTTGTGCATCGTATATAGCAGTAATCTACAGCATGTTAAAGCAAGACTATACAATGCAGAATAATATTGTTTCTTCGTTGAATTTTACAACTTCAAATGGTGAATTAGAGAGCTACTGTCTGATGTGGATGTTAAGGCCGTTTATAAACGACGATGTTATACATCAGGCTTTGAGACATACAAGTATTAGATAACCAATTTTACTTTGGATGTTCTTTCATCATCACTTTATCACTTTTTTATTTCCGGAGTACTTGGATTGTGTTGAGTTTCTACCAAAAGTAACTGTATCATTAATTCATTATAAACGACTGGAGAAGTTTGCTCGGAAGTGTATAGTAAGAATTTGTCTGATACTGAGTAGATGTTAGAATTCTACAGGCGGCTATCTTTCTGTTGATTTTGAAGACATTGTATTCTCTGTATGTCTGGGGATCCAGCTGCTCATCTAGACTCCGTATTGGATTCATGATGTATTTGTCTTGTGGTGAATTTTACAACGGCCAGCAGCAATCTATGAGCATGCTTCAAGGCTGTAAGATGTAATATTGTCATAATTTTTACAATTGTAAATACGAGAGGAAATGATTAAAATATTAATTTGCATTTTATAATATTAAAACTATAAATCCTCAATGTAAAGGATTAAATGCAATGTCAACAATCTTAAATTGCTAAAATGTTGAATTTTGTTTCAAGACCTAAAATCAAATTTTTTTTCAAGACCCAAAATCAAATTTCGTTATATTATCTGTCTTTTACAACAATCTATAATTGCTACTCTAAAACCAAAAATACGCGCGGATCACACTTTCAATTAGATATGAATTTATTTATTTTTTTTTGTTTCTTGAATAGGATTAGATATGTAAAATTAGACATTACAAAATTAGAATTAAACTGTCTCTATCCGTCAGAAGTGGTTGCTTAATAAAGAAGACAGATACATCAAGTTTTCGTTGTCGAGCAATGAATCTATTGGGCCTAGATAAATTTGGGTCAATTGTGTATTAATGTTGATTTATGGGCTTGTGGGTATGTCAATGGTGGTAGCTGAAAAAGGTCAATTTGTTTGTTCAAGATATTAACTAGACCAATTTCATACGGATCAATTTTTGGTTTCGGTTTAAAGCATAATTTAGCATGTTACTTGTATTTCATCAAATTGGGATACTTGAAGCTAACAACAAATGAGTAAGTTCTTATAAGAGCATTCACCACAATGAGAGTTGCTACCTTGATAAGCAGGAGAACTTTGTTGATCATAGTAAGCGTTTTCAATAGGATTTGCTTGAGGTGTTTGTTGATCATAGTAAGTGTTTTCAGTAGAAATTGTGAATGTGTATGTTGTTGTGAAGAATTTTGCAAAGATGTATTTCCTAACCTTTGTAGGAAAAGTTGAAAATTGGGATTGGTTATAAAATCGTCACCCAAATCAGAAAAATGTTGAGACATTTGAGAGAAATTAGGGTTGTTGGGATCCATTAGAACAAAATAACAACAATAATTAGTATTAAAATAGTAACACGGATTTTTAAATAATAATTATCGAAACAACAATAAAAAATTATGATAGAGCAATCAAATAATTTTTTTTTTTGTCCTCCAAGTACTTTTGAGGTGGCTCAGCGTACATTCGACGGGGCTTTTCGATCTTCCTTGGAGCGTATTGTTACTGCTTTCAGGGCCTGGGTTTGGCGATTGGCAGTGGCGGCTTGCCACCTTACCATTTGCTTTTGGAGGGCTTGGTGTTTATGCCGCAAGTGATGTTCGTCATTATGCTTTTCTTGCTTCTCGGTTACAGTCTGCTGGGTTGCAGACACAGCTTCTACGGCATGCTGGCATTGTTGGTCTTGGACGAGCTTTTGAGGATGCATTGCGTTTGTTTAATGGAACGGTGGAGTCTGACATCTTGAGTAATCCTAGTGAGGTCGCTGCCCCTAAACTCATGAAGAAATTGGTAGATATATATTTCACAAAGGTTACCGCTTCTGCAAAATCCGCCTATTTTTTAACTCCTCGACAATCAGCATTGTGGAAATCACAGCAGGGAGACCACACCTCTGCTTGGCTACGGGCGGTCCCTATTTCGGGGTTGGGTCAGACGATGAATGCCAAGACTTACTGATGTGTGTTATACTACCGGTTGGGTGTTCCATTGTTCTCTATTATGACGCCATGCTCTGCTTGTTCAAGGACTTTTACTGGGGATATTTTCGGTGATCATGCGATGTCTTGTGCTGGTATTGTGGCCATTAAACATCGACATAATGTTGTTTGGCATACCCTTGTTGATGTTTGCTATTAGTTAGAGATTTCAACTAGAAAGGAGGTGGACATTGGATTGTCTAGAGGTAACAACGGGGCCATCAGACCTGCAGATTTGTTACTTTATTCCTGGGATCATGGTTGCGATGTTTGTGATGATTTGGCAGGGTCTTCTCCTTTGACACATTTTGGGCTATCTGAATTTGTTCGTGGACGAGTTGTGGCTGATGTGGCCCATCGGAAGCGAGTCAAGTACGAATCCAGTTGTCGAGCAATTGGATATGACTTCCTTCCTTTCTCTTTATCTTCACTTGGGGAATTAGATAGGGAGGCTATTGCATTGCTAAAGCGGATCTAGAATTTCTCGAAGTCTCAGGGCATTGGGGCACGTGTTGTTGCTCATATCTTCACTAGGATAGGTTTTGCTATACCTAGAAGAGTGGGGGCCCAGATTGTATCTCGGCTTCCCACTAATTTTTTGTAGGTTGTATGACTTTGTCTATTTTTGAGATATAATAATAAGACAAATTCTCTAGTTTAGGGGCGATTAGGGTTGGGTAGTTTAGGCTTCCACGCCTTTATTCCGGTAGCATCTCCGGCGCTCGGTCAGGTCAAGCAAAGGGTCTGGCTACCACGTCAATTTCCTGTCGAATTTCCGTCGAAGTTTAGGCAGTTTCAGGGCAATTCGGGGGCAGTTTCTAGGCGAATTTCAGGCGAGTTCCGTGTTGATATTCAGGCAGGTTCCATGTCCATATCCCGACCATTTTCCAGGCACTAATAGGTCAGGCGGCAGCGGTAGGAAGAGAGTATCACCGCTGCTATTCGTTCTTGGTGTGAGCCTGGTGGTTCTGTCCATCTTGTGCAGGATACGTTAGCTGATGTGTCTCCTCCTTTGTTGGATGCTGATGATGAGCATGATTTTTCTGAGCATAATATTAAGTAATGTAAGAGAAAGATTTGTGACGGACATTACACTACTGCGGTTAGGGTTCTTTCGTCTTCTGGTCATGACCCTTACAATGATGCTACTCTTGCTGTTTTACAAGCTAAGCACCCTTCCTTTCCTGATCCTATCTCACCGGATATCCCCGTTAATCAGCCCCTTATTGATACACTTGCTATTGTTTTGGATCAGATTAAGGGTTTTCCGCGTGGTACGTCATGCGGTTGAGAAGGCTTGCGTGCTCAACACCTTATGGATTGCTTGAGTGGTGCCGCAGTTGCTATTTCAGATGAGTTGGTAGACTCTATTACATAGATGGTTAATCTTTTTCTCGCTAAGAAATGTCCTACTGAGTTGGGAGAATACATTGCTAGTGCTTCTCTTACGTCACTTGTTAAGCCTGGTGGTGGTATTCGGCCTATTGCTGTGGGTACCGTTTGGAGGCGTTTGGTTTCAAAGGTTGGGGCTGCTTTAATAGGTCCACGTCTGGGAAGCTATTTAGGAGGTCTTCAGTTTGGTGTTGGTGTGCCAGCGAGTGGTGAGGCTATTCTTCATGCTGTTAATCGTTTGGTTGAGGCTCGTGGTGGTGATGTTGGCTTCTCTATGTTGCTGGTGGATTTCCAGAATGCCTTTAATTTGGTTAATCGTACGGCTTTACAGCGTGAGGTTCGTCTCCGTTGTCCAGCTCTCTCGCATTGGGTTGAATTCTGTTACTCTTCTCCAGCCAGACAGTTTTATGGGGAGCATACATGTCAAGGAGTGCAACAGGGTGATCCTCTTGGCCCTTTGCTTTTGCTTTGGTGCTCCATCTGTTGGTGTGCCGAATTAGGGACTTTTTCGACTTATGTTTGCAGGCTTGGTATTTGGATGACGACACTATTATTGGTGACACCTTGGTGGTAGGAAAGGTTATGGAGTTGATTTTGGTGGAGGGACCTCGTCTCGGCCTCCATGTAAACGTTGAGAAAACGGAAGTTTTCTGGCCCACAGTGGACCCACGTAACCGTCTGGTCGGTGTCTTTCCTCCAGATATTGCTCGTCCTGTACATGGTGTTATAAGTTGCTTGGTGGTCCTGTCAGTGCGGATTCCTCTTTCTGTGGTGAGCTTGTTTCGCAAAGAGTGTCGAAAACCATTGTGCTAATGAATGCTGTTGCTAAGCTTGATGATCCCCAATGTGAGTTGTTACTTCTTCGTGCGTGTACTGGGTTTCAAAACTCTACTTTTCTATACGTACTTGTCCTCCTCGCCTTTTTGAAGCGACCCATATTTCTTTTGATGTGGCCCTTCGAGCTTCTTCGGAGCGCATTGTAACTTCTTCGGGGCTAGGTTTTGGTGATTGGCAATGGCGACCTGCCACCTTACCTTTTTCTTTTGGTGGATTGGGTGTCTATTCAGCGGGTGATGTTCGGCACTATGCTTTCCTTGCGTCACGTTTGCAGACTTCTGGTCTTCAGGCTTCGCTTCTTCGCAATTCTGGTATTGTTGGTCCAGGACCGGCCTTCGATGGTGCTCGTACTTTTTTTAATAGGACTGTGGAGACTGACCTTATGCGTAACCCTAGTGAGATCGCTGCCCCCAAACTCATGAAGAAGTTGGCAGATATATATTTCACGAAGGTCACTGCATTTATAGAATCCACTTTCTCCTTATCTCCGCGTCAGGTTGCCTTATGGAAGTCCCAGCAGGGGGATCACACTTCTTCCTAGTTGCGAGCAGTCCCAATATCAGGTTTGGGTCAGACTATGAATGGTAAGGCTTACCGTTGTGTTCTTTGCTACTGATTGGTTGTTCCCTTGTTTTCCGTTTCGACACCGTGTTCTACTTGCTCAAGGGTTTTTGATGGGGATATTTATGGGGATCATGTAGTGTCTTGTGCTGGGATGGTGGGTATTAAGCATCGGCACAACGTTGTTCGTGATACCCTTGTTGATATTTGTTTTCGCTCTGGAATTTCTACAAGAAAAGAGGTTAACGTTGGGTTGACTAGAGGGAACGACGGGGTTATTCG